CCCCAAAACCCCAAAACCCCAAAACCCCAAAACCCCTATAGAATCATTTTTAGTTGAAAACATAAAATTTATTAATATTTCTGAAAATTTTTAAAGCAAATATGGATCTGGTCCAAGCCCTAGCAAATGTATACGAGACACTTTTCTCAGAGAAAGGTAAGCTTCTATAATTCTAGGTTGGGGTTTTCCCGATGATTACTAATTTCTATGATTTAGAACGAAAATACAGCAGTGACTATAAGGAAGCCTTTTCTGTAACTAGCATGAACAATTTTAAAGCGAATTGCAATTTTGCAAAGAAATCCAAAAGCCAGAAATAAGATTAGTTATTGCAACGAAACCTCAACAGAGTAGGTCTTCTTCAATTTTGAGTTATTTACAGTGAGATTTAGTCAGACCAGAATAAATCTTGGATATAGAAATAAAGAGATAGACTACAAACAGTTAATCACCCAAACTAATAATGGTTACAGAAGTTCAAGCATGACCCTATTACCAGAGATTCTTAAGTTCATAGATCATGCTGGAACTGCCTTAATTCAGTCAGAATGAGAGGTAATCTCCAATATTGGAATTCTCAAGGTATTTAAAAGTAAAATTAAGAATACACAAAACGTAACAGATCTTCTCCTATCCGAGCGTAGCTTCTTACTCAAGCTCGTAATCTACCTTTCCAAGTGATGTTTGGATTTACAAAATGACCTAAAAAATGCTCATGGCCAAAGCCAGGAGGTTAGCCATACCAGTAATTCTAAGCATAACTCAAAAATTGCTTTAAAATGCCTTCAGGAGAACACTGTCAGCGAGGAAGAAGTAGTCGAACTTAAGAAGCAAGTCAAAGAACTGGAGAATTGCAACTCAAAGTTGATCTATCAGAGCTTTCTAAATGACATACGTGGTATGAATGTAGAGAAAGGCAAACATAAGCTGCCAAGACAGATGTCTCATAAGCTGACACAACCAAGGTCCAGACTTCCTTCTGAGAGATGAGACTCTCTTTATAAGATGATAGAGAAGTTATCACAGAGCTGTGGAAGGACTAGTCCTGGTGGGAATGCTACTGAAGAGCCTAAAGTATCAGCTCTTTATTATAAAAGGAAAAACACTTGCAGTTTCAGTTTTAACCAAAAAGAAGGGCCAAACCAGGTAAGTCCTAATAATCATCACTTTTAGAGAAAGATGAAAGGGAAAAGGTCATCTAGAATCAAGACAGATCTCTCATATTTCATCAAGTCTGGGGTAAGTTGGTTCTTGGGATTCTTAAAGACTAGAATCTTATGAGTATATTCAATAGATTAACAGTTTCATAATTTTCCAAAATCCCTTAAAAATAATCTGATACCTTGTAGGAACAGAAGCCATCAGATATGAATCGGGTTCATACGAAATGCTCTTTTGCCAGAACGCCTGAGCCAAATACAGATAATACTGCAACAAGAGAGGAAAGTGGGGATATGGAGAACTACCAGACTCCCCAGTTGCACTCAATCAAGATGAATCAGCCTGAAAAACACCAGGAGAACACTATGCCCAAATATAAAATTTCCTTGAAACCCAACACAGATGAAAAACAACTGGAAGAGCTAGACTCCTTCCTTGAGGAAGAGCACAAGATTCATGAAGAAATTTTAGATAAAGAAGTGCTTAAAATTGAAGATCTTGATGACATTTTGGTCCAGAATGCCACTGATGAGCAGGGGATTCAAAACGCAATGGACACCAACATAAAGCTCAACCTGCTTAATATCATAAATAATGATAAGATTGAAACCCAACTGCTTGAGGAGAGTGGGATTCATGAAGAAAATGTTACTGATGATGGAAATGAAGGAAATTAACATTGCCAATCTTAACAATATTAATGCATTAGGAACAACTGGGCTACCTACGCAAGAGATGAAGACTTCAAGCCATTTTAGTGCGCTTAAAAATAAGAACTTCAAGAAATCTGTAGATGTTAGGAACAATAGTAGAGGGGCCACCTTCTGAAAGAACTACTCACTCAAAGAGAAGAAGATTAAACCCGGTCAGAAGTTGGAAAAAGCTGTCAGTGAACATAATATCCATTCCGGTGCTCTTGTTATTCCTATTAAGAGCAAGAAGCCTCCAATGAAGGCATCCTCCAAGAGATGTGAAAATCGGGTCACCACTCCGATCCCTGATCAGAAGAAGAGCTGCAAGCTCAAGGGTACAAAGTATATTGAAATCAGTATACTTGACAAGAAGGTCGACAAAAGATCATTGAAAGGCGAAAAGGCAGATTTGTTTATCGGCAAGCCACCCTCCAACTTATCTGAGAGAGCCTCCTCTCAAATCCTAAAGAACAAGCAAAAGTAAGCGAATGTGGATATTTTAGGCATTCTTTCAAAGATCGGATGGAGAACCATAAGCGAGAAAGACCTTGCTCTAAGGTAAGTTTCTGTAATAATATTAGAAATACAAGAAAGAAATCACTCCTCAAAAGCATCATATTGATAATGAAGAGTATGGGATTCGGAAATCACGCACTCAAAGTGAGTTGTTTTCACTATGAACCAACCTTAGCAAACTTTCTTCCACTTTTGCTTCAGTCAGCTCATATTTTCCAGTTGAAATTTCACAAATTCTTATCTTTACCGGATCTTGTAGGAAAGAATCAGATGCAATTGATTGATAACTTTGAAAACGAGAGTAATCAGTAAGTATACATACATCTAACTTTAGTGAGACTATGAACACAGAAAGGTTAGGTAAGTCAGAATCCTTCCCACTGGTGGACCTTAAAACTCCTAAGAGTTATATGATTCATCTTTTTAGCGATTAACAACATGCCAAGATTAAGTAAAATGCCAAAGCAAATGCATTCTTCATCTAAATCAATAGCTTGGTGAGTTGAAATTCTCATATATTAGGAAATCTGGAAATAACCTGCAGAATGAGGCACAAGACGAGTCAAATACTCAGAAAATGTCCATGGGTATACACCAAGCGTTGAAAAAGAAAGCAGGTGCAAGTTCTTTGTCAAGAAATCAGGCTTCAAATACCCTTTATCCGATCACTCATGGGGGAAAGGATGCCAATAGGACTACCAGCCATGCTTTCGGTGAGAAGATCAGAGACCCCCGACAGATGACGATGTCTTCTAGATATGTTGCCAAATCGCTGATGCCAACACTAAATTCTAAGTAAAGCATATTAGTAGGCTTTGGCACCAGGAAAATTAGCATCCTCCATTTTTATAGGGAAATTATGACCAACCTTTCTTTTGCTTCAATCAGTTAGTGAAATGCAGGGGTTTTGGGGTTTTGGGGTTTTGGGGTTTTGGGG